GAGCAGTGGGGAAGGAGCATCCGTCCCCTGCCAGGCTCAGAAACCCACGTGTGCCTTTGCAGTCAGTGGAAGCAGAGAGACAAAGTGCCAGGTGGTGCCAGGGAACCCGCCAGGGCTGGAGCAGTGGGACACTGCAGTCCCAACAGGAACACGGGCAGGCTGGGCCCATACACACAGCGCCAGACAAAAAGGCACAGCCACATCCTCCTCCTTGGATATGAAGGACATGGAGCCTTCCTGCTCCAAGCACAGCTTCCTGGGCAAGCTGGGCACCCAAGGGAAAGGGAAGTGCTGGAAGACACACCATTAACACCACTTTACCTGTCTGCCTTTCACAATGTGCTTGGGCACGGGCACTTTAATCTCCAGATCACTGTAGTCTTGGGACCAGGAGTAGTTCTCTCGCACAGCTCCGTTGTAGCTGTCGGGGTTTGTCTGGAACTGCTCCTGTCTCCTGGAGGGGGAGAAATGGGCGACATGGTAAGTGTCAGAGGGAGCAGAGCCTGGGGAGAGCAGGAAACCTGAAAGTAGGATACAAGAAGCAAAAAAGGAGGACCCTTGAGCTCCAGGGTCTCCCCCTCGCTGCTGGCCCTACCTAGGAAGGGCAAAGGTTTAGGTCCCAGCCCCAGGACCACCACTGCAGGTGACTCACACAGCCTGTCCCCAGTGTGCACAAGGGCAGTCAGGCAGCTGTGGGACAACGGGTGAGACACACGATAAACTCCTCTGCCTCTCCACCTCCCTGCTGTGCCCACCACAGCTGGAGCTGGGGACACCATCCTGCACCAGAGGGTCTGTGCTGTTCCCTGAGCCATTGCTGAGAGCTGGGTTCACCATGAAAAACCAGAGCTGGGTGTCCTCCTCCTGATTTTAGTGTGTTTGGGAAAACCCCCAGCTGGGGGGAGATGGGCACAGAGCTCCACTGACCCTGGGATGTGACAAACTGGGCAAGTGCATCTTGAGCAACACTTGGCACAAACTGCCACGTCCAGCTGAGGAAACCTTAGGGGAAGGATGAGGAGGTGGTTGTGGCGATAGGATGGGGCTTATCGGATCAATAAGCAATAATCAATAGAGTGTTTCCAGCCAAGAAGCGAGATCTCCATCACCCCGTGTCCCTTTGAACAGGCAGGCTGAGGATCTGTTCCACCGAAACCTCCCGGAGAAGGCTTTCAAATCAAACCAAACCCTTCCTAAAGATAGCTGCGGTGCTCACAAAAGGCAGAGTTATTTTAAAGTGTTTTGCTATGTACCTAAGCCTCCAATCTGGAGCTCTCCAAACACGGGGCTGCAGCGCGTTACATAAAGG